ATCCCGCGACCTCCGCGCTCCGCGGCGGACTTGGCCGGGCCGCCGGCGCGTAGCCTTTGCCACGCGTGTCCACTTGAGCCACGGTCACTTTGTCCTTCCAGTCTATCTTCATCAACACCTACTCCGTCGATGACGCGAAGATCACGAGCGATTTAGCAATGAAAAATGATCGATTCGATGTCGCGTTCTTTCTTCGGCAATTCGAGGGAGATGTGGGGATGAGGACGTGGAGTTCTTCTTAAAATAGCAATTATAAGCCATTTTCAGTTTCTATGCCACATCCAGGTCACATTGATCTCACTGAGCATCACTGTTCTTATCGTTACTCACGAGTTAAACAAGTGGTGAGGTACTCCGAACTCAGTCAAATAGAACCTGGACACGTCGTCTTTGCACCAACACGGTCAACATATCGAGTCTCAAACAACAAAGGGGGCGTCCCTGGCGTCGTTGGAGAAGCCACATGTGCTACAGTGCTGCAGGGATCTACAGGGGAGTATGGGGTGTGTGATAGTGTCGGGTGCTGTTTGTCCATGATTGTCCATGTCATCGATTCTTTTGAGCATTGGCATGGCAGCCCATGGCAGAATCCAAAAGCATAAGTGCATGCATGAGCAATTTGTATGTCTGGTTCAAACACCTCCTAGTAAGGAAGGAGAAACAAACGCCTCTAAGTCTAGTCTCCGTTGACTTCCATCCTCCAACAAACCATGCAAACGGGTAAAACCGAGCCAAACCTCAGGGTGGGCCATGCCCATCTTCGCTGGCACTTGAGCAAGCACGTTGTACCAGTTCCAAACAGGTGGTTTGACCTTGAAGTGAGTAGAATGGGCACCCCACTCCTATCCCCTATCCTATCCTCCATTCAGCACTGGTGGGTCAATTTCACCTCCCCCAGGTGACCCCTCGGTGCCTTGTTCCACTTGTCCTCGGCGCGGAACGGCTCCACACAACGCCGGTGCTGAACGGAGCGCCCAAGGATCAAGAACCGATGGCCGATCCGGATGGACCCTCCAACAACCATCCATGCTAGCAGTTTTTTCTGCTGGGGTGCCGAACTTGGAGGAAGTCGGAACTGCTGGTTGATGGTATTAAATTATATATATATATATTTACATTAACCGTTAACCCCCTGTCTTCAACCACCCCAAGACAAATGGGTAGTCCCATGGTCTTAGATTGTCTAGGCCCTGATTTGGAGGAGAGAAATTAGTCAATGAGCTCACATCAAACTTCTTGCTATCTCTCTTGTTGCATCCCATGATCCTTTTAGCCTTGTTTGAGACTCGTGTTTGATGAAATGCGCAAGGTCGTGACCTCGCACCTCCCCTGTGCTTAATCACTCACGACCGAGCCCAGTGGCATTTTGGATCTTTCCATCGTTGCTGATCCGTACCAGATTTCCTCCGCCCCCACACAGCTGCATCCCGCCGCGCACCGTGAATTGCACACCCACCTTGCAGTCCGGCAGCGCACCCTCGAAGGGGCCTGAGCGAAGGGAGGAAGGGGGTCGGGTTTCCGAATCCCATGTGTTTAGACGGAGATCTGACATCCCACATGGGACTGCCCTGTCTTGGCCGCCCCCTGTCTTCCTCCCCTGTCTGTCTAAACAACCACCGTCGCTGCACATCGACGCTGCTGGACCACCGGGACCTGGACCTCTTTGTTGACCAATGTATCTTCAAGCCTGAGGGGGTTTGATTAAGCAGTCTACTTCGAAGTGATCGAACTGGGATCTCACACAGACCTGGGCGCCATATATGGAACGCACAGAACGATGAAGAAGGCCCACGTGGTGAGTTCCACCCTCGTGGTCACGGCACGAAGTAGCCAAGAACCCGTTTTCAATGTCCGAGCGCATGTAGAAGAAACGACCATGTTGGTTGTACTATTCGGTCCCTGTGGTGTAAGCTGGTGTGTGAAGGATCAGCTGTTGTTCTATCTTCCCTCACTTCTCCGCATTTGCATTCTACCAAATTCTACCCTCTCCAAAGCCTCAACCAACTCCAAATGGACCAGTCTGACCCAGGTCCAAACTTGGTCCTGTATCTCATGGTATGAGCAACGCCAGTCAAATCAAGTCAAACTGACCTGTAGGGTATAGATCTTCCAGCGGAACCAGTAGGGTTTGTGCCCCAGATCGACAACTCGCCGCGGATCTTCCCAGCAGCGTTCGGTGAAGACCAAGCAAGCATTGGGCAGGTCCACCTTTCCATTCACGGTGAACTCGAACTCCACCTGGAGCCAAGCATTAGGATCTTGGTACGTCTAGATCATACACTTGCCGGTGGGTCAGTTGGCATGCTTTGATGGGCTGGCTTGAGGGTACACCAGGTAAGAGACCCACATGGAACCTGACGGCATGGACCTTTGGAAGACTAGCGGAACCTCCACAAAGCAGTTTGGTTGACTCCTCCAGCCTGGCCCTCGGCACACGGCACGTTTTCCATCCCTCCCGGTGGATTCGTTGATCCATCACCCGGCCTCCGTGGGACGTATCAAAGGCCAAAAGCTGGTCCAAAGTCCAGTGCAGGGCGCGTTGGGCGCCCCGCCCATGAGTTGCAAACAACTCTTGGCCTTTTCGGCGGAGGTGAGTGTGTCGCGGGTGGAGAGAGTGCGGTCCCGGCGCGCGCGCGAATTCGGCGAAGTCGGTTGATTCGAGGCCCCTTTCGACCCTTCTTCCTCTTCCAAATTGACCTTTTCTGTATTGAAGACCCCCCTGGCCCTGCGTAGACGGGTCTATTTCCCCTCACCGAAACCAGGGGTCGGAATGCCCAGGTCTGCCTAATGGGCAAAGAATTATATGTACCGGATGCATCATCCCTAGAACCCAAGAATTGCCCAGGAAGAACGGCCTTAAGTCACTTAAGTCACACAACGACTTCTTTGAGGGCATGGGCTTTGTGTTGCAAAAAGAACGTACTGTATGGCAACCCCCTTGGCCCATGGGTGGCTAGTCATTGCTTACCCAATTTGAACAAAGCTCAGCTGGCTCATCACATCTTCATCCCTAAAGGATCAGGAAGGCCAGCGTCCGCCTGGGAAGGGCTTTGTTTGGGTTTCCAACCTTCGACTGCTATGACTCCGTGGGAAAAAGCCTTCACCAAGCAGCATCTTTGGGATTCGAAGGATACTTCACCAGCTTGGCGGTGATGAGCCTTGAACACGCGTCGCTACGCGTCGCTACGCGTCGCTTCGTTTCCACAAAGGATCGCTCGTTGGCACCCAGCTTAGCAACTTCAAGGCCCTAAAACAGGCAAACTCTCAACAACAGGGGTTCATCCACAAACAATCAGCTGTGCGTACTGTACGGGACTTTTTTGTAGTGTCTCATTGTGAGACACACCAATCTGATTGTTGGATTTCACCATTGGTGCTCTGCCAGGGGGCCCTCGCTTGATCTCCTTCCCATTCTCATCCTGGTCCGCTGGACCTCAGAAAACACATCACACCCTGGCACAACGAGCATGGCGCGCTTGGTGCCTCTTTTGAAAAAACGACAAGCTAAATGCACAATGAGCATCCCAGGTGATGCATGAGAACTCTTACTTCAACAGTATGCAGCAGGCCGAAGGTCATTCTGGCATAGCTTTACCAATCAAACCTTTTCCTTTAAACATTGCTTGGCTGTGATTAACTGCCCTGCATGGGAAAACACACAAATCCGCCTCACGCAACTTGTAGTGCATATATTTCCACATTTGTCAGCAGCATTGGGACAACTACTTTCCTCTACAAAAAACCATTGGTTTTCCATGTTAATCTTAGCGAGTCATGTGTTTTTTCCCGCCTGGTAGCCAGCGCTCCTCCCAGTTGTTGCTAAAGCTCTCGAGGTATTCAAAGTCCGTGGTATTCACCTCAGGTAGTGGCGATGATCAACAGAATAATAACCATACAAAATAGAATAAGGAAACCAAAAAACATTATAAGAACTAGTACCTATAGTGATAAAGTGCTATTTATAGATCAAATATAATATACGAGTACAAATATAGTTTAATATCCACAGCTTGGCTGGAGGACCCCGGATGTGACATGCGCACAAATGTTTCAACAGGTATGCCTATGAGAGGCCTTGGCTGGTTTCGGCTAGGGCTATGGTTGGCCTTGGACTGGAGAAAGGTGTTTTTGAAACTATCCCAAAACCACCGTTTCTGTAGGCCTGGAGAGGCCGCGGGACGGGATAGAGTCCAAAACTACAGCAGGGCCAAGCCTTCAGGCTAGACTGAGTTCGGGCAGTCTAAAGGTTTCTGCTTCCATTTAGCCAGCATGCTTGCCTGGAGCAGTTGATCAAGAAGAAGACTCTTGCCTGTTGTACTTCCAAGGTTGCATGTCTGAAGGTTTTCCACAACTAACAAACATGTGACCTAGCAGAAAGCCAGCAGCAAGTGGCTGTCCAGTGCCCATATCTTGTGTCACCCGCCGCACCCAGCCCTTGAAGAACCAGGAGAGAGGGATACAGTCCAAGCTCACAACTACCAGAACCTTCCAAGAGGTGGTCTTTGGACACCCCGAATCACCTCTATGAGGCTACTTACAAAGACTTCTTGGTCTCGGTCCTGGTTGCAAAACAAACACGTCCTGGATTCAACTCCAAGTCACAGGAACTTCCGACTCCTCTTCGGCCTGGTCGGTTCGTATAAAGACTGCTCGCGCGCGGTTTTGGAGCGCGATTCGAACGCTCCGTCTTTGAGAATGTTGGGAAGATTTGTCATCTTCTTTGGTAGCTGCATGTTCAAAAAATGCAAAGCATCACAAGTTTAAGTATAACTATAGGTATCCATGTATGCCATATATGCCTACATTGACCCCCCCAAACCACCCCAATGTATATATGGCAGTCCCATGGAGCGTCTGAGTAACTATATAGGTATCCAGCAAAAACCAAGAGAAGCTTCAAAAGATTCCGTGCTGCTGCTTGGATTCACCGGGCAGGTGGAGGTCCTCGGGGCGGGTCCTCGAATTCCGCAGTGAGCATGGGCCGCATGGGTTGAGCGGTTGAGCTCATGTCGTCTGGATGAACCAAGATCCGTCGATTCCAAGAGCGGGGCCATTTCCACGCAACCAAGAAAGGTGAAACCACCTGGTCTTAGCAAGTGCACTATCAATTGTACATGCCAAGTGATCAGAAAAAACAGGCTCTTCTTCGGTTCTCCTTCAGTTCCACGCCTCCGTCCCCAGCGCTGTCCCGGACGCCGCCGCGGGCGCCGCCAAGAGCCGCAGGGCGCGCCGGAGGCTCGGCGCGGCGTCGGCGTGGGCGTCGAGCGCGGGCACGGCGGGATCCAGGGCCTCGGCGCGCGCGCGCGCGTTCGGCGGTGTGCACCGAGGTCTGCAGGGTTTCCAGCCAGGTATTGTTGGTCTTAGTTTTTGGAACTGCATGGTTCTATACTTGCCAGCTATTATAATCACTAGTGGTCACTCGACCTAGGAGAGCAAGGTTGCTCACAACCCTGGACTCCAAGTTGGCTTGCCCCTTCACAGGTCCTCAACAGCTCCACATCCACCAACCTCATACGTCCGAGCCCATCCAAGTGTTGACCGGGAGATGTTGGTCTCTCTCTTCGCCCCCGTCTTCGCCCCCGTCTAACTTCCAGCCACCAGCGTCGCCATCTCGTCCACGCCAGGCAGTGTTTGTGGCAGTTTCTCAGCCCTTGCAGCGGACAACTCCGCCAGCAGGAGCAGCTGGAAACCCGACTCACAAGTGACACCTCAGGGGCGCGGCGTGCCGGTGTGCCTTCCTACCGCAGATACTACCAGTGTCAATGAGTGTTCATTGGACTGGATTTGGAAAGACCTTTGTAGAACGGTTCACCTTTATACGCAGTATGATTTGAAGCTTCGAAGACATGCGTGCTTCAGTTCAACATGGCCCAACCCCGCAACATGCCCTTCGAGCTCGATGTTTTTACCGGTATATAATCATTGGATATCATTGGTATATCTAGCCTCTAGCATATCTACCCTGAGAATCTATATGTAAACATCTCAAAACCCATGGCATCCCCGTTGCCACCACCACTTCTGACCCACCTTTTTGCCCCGAGTAGACTCTTCACCTCACCGGTGTGGCTTGGTTTTCACCGCCCAGGTCGGCCACCAAGCAGCCCAAAGCCTCCGCGACCCTCGGGAGCTTCTCGAAATCGAAGACCTCCACCTCACGTGGCGTGGCCGCCAGGAGCTTCGAGTCGGGTCTTTTGTCAAAGACCCGCTGAAGAAAGGAGGACCAGCGGGAGACCAGGGGCTGTCGAGTCTTTCAGGAGAGAAGCCAGTTTTATCTGTGTTTGAGCTTTTGGACACCATGCGGCATTTTTCGATTGCCCTTTGAAGTGATCAAGGGGTGGTATTCAATGGAGTTCAATTTCCTAGGGACTGTTGGACAGAAAGTCCTGTGGACTTTTCTGAGGCGCCTCAGTTTCATCCTGATGCATCCACGCCTGGGGAGGTGACAAAGCACCACCAGTCAGTCAGGGTGGTGCTGGTGGTGGATTGATTGACTGGTTCACCCCTTCGGATCCCTTCGGGAGGCGGTGAGGATCCCTCTTCACCCCCGACCCCAGGACGGTGACCTTGCCCGATCCTTGCTGTGGATGATGCACAACGGATCCACATGTCCCTTGCATTGTGGCCTCAATTCCGCATCGGTGACCGTGATATTGATATATCTAACCTCTGCAGAAACTATAATATCCGTGACGATCCAAAGTAGAAAACGTGTTTGGTGAGGAATGTTGCTATTCACATACTCAATTGAGTCCTCCGAGCTGTGGGTTTGAGAGGCGGTGCCATTTACCGTCTTTGGCGGGCTTGCTGGCATTTACTGTCTTCGCGCTAGAATCTGAAAAGAGCGCATGTTTGGATTCATAGGGCATCATAGGGTATAGGAATACAGTAAGGGGTTTTGCCTTCTTCCACCTGTATTTAAGGGAAGCATGCCTTATCCATCAAAAGGACTAATTAAAGGTTCGCCGATTCGCCACATGTCTATAGTAGGTCCTCCCCACTCAAACACACAAATTTCAGTACCAGTACATATTAGCCTACCAGTAGTTTTCAAGACCATTAAACGAAAGGTTAACTTGGTTTTGTAGTGTAAACTCCTTGCTAAAACAGCTGCTTGTGCGGGATTCCCTTGTGCTTAGAACTATAGGAGCCCCCCTCAACGGCTCCAGCGCCTGCGTGGCGTCGCAGAAGTGCCGCAGGTTCGGCACGGCAGAGCCCAGTTGAAGGACCAAACGTTGGCCTCACCGAGGAAGGGCATCGAGAAGGGTTATTATCCCTACACCTCCAAGTACCTGCTCAGAAGGTACTTAGACCCTCCAAACCCACCTAAACACCTTCTCAGAATGTACTTGGAGGCCTAGGGTATACGACCAAACGTTTTTAGCCGATGATAGTGGACAAAAAATGATGTACCATGGTGCTAGAACGTTAGCCGATGCTATACCTATATGCATATGAGGATCCAGTCATACCTTTTCAGGTAAGGTGATTGGAGACACTGTTATGTAGGTGCCAGGAGGGTCCAGTCGTACCTTCTGCAAAGGGCTTGTTTCTTCCCTATAGAGCTCCTGGCCCACATCCTCAGGAGGTAGTTAGAGGCCTAAAACCTACCCTAATCACCGAACGAAACGGAGGGCTCCTGGAGCCCAAACGGGCTATCTAGTATCTAGGACCTATATAACCTTCGCCGAAATCCCTGGGGCCACGGTTGGCTTTGCCAGTGTCTGAGACACAGCTCTGGGAAGTCACAGCTCTGAGAGTGGAGGCTTAAAGCAAAGTACATCCCGTCTAACCGGTCGAGCGAAACAAACACATCACATCCCTGTGTTTGAGATGTGTTCGGTTGAAATCCTGTCGAACGCACAGAACGCACAAGGGCCAGGGTCGAACTCATCTCTCCAGCATATCATCATAGCACCTTTCTATATAGTGGTTGCTGGAGAGATTCGCATAGATTCGGAGTTCTCTCCACATGTCCAGCAGCCTTCAGGAATTCTCTGCAACTCCTTTAACATCGATCCAAACAACAAGTGGTATACTACTGGTTGGTTAACGGTGGATGTTTAAGGCCCGTTTGCCATCACACGAGTGTGCCAAAGCGAGGGGGAGACGTGGCATGGAAGGCAGGCCGTGCCCCGCGTTCACGGGGGCCCCGCAAGGGGCCCCTAGGGAGTGTGTTGGGGTCTGTTTTCATTGGACTTTCACTGGGAGGTCTTAACACACACCCATTTCAAAAACACATGTGATTACAGTGGTTTCAGAGTAGATGACACAACCCCCAAGATGTCTTTGATGTAGGGGTCCATATAAACCACCCAACTTGGGGTTTGTGCCATCTACTCTGAAACCAGTGTAAACAATATCTACCGGACGACCGGACGCATCCACACCGGATGAACCTAACAATTCATTGCCCTAGATTGCACCGGATGCACCAAAACCCCGTAAGAGCGATTCGTTGGAGCCGACGGGAGCCCGACCCGAGCCATGGGAGCCCGCAGCATCCCGAGCGACACGACGTGCCTTGAGCCATGGAGGTCTTCAGCACTGAACTCAGAGCGCCACGTGCCTCGTCCGTGCTCCTCGGAACGCGCGTCTCGTGACGGAACCGTCTCGTCTGGATTTCAGGGTGGGTACCGTTCTTTAAGACCCTGGTGATGACACCGCTGTATGTTTCCTTGTCATTGTGATGTCTTTGGTGGTCAAAAGCTGGTCTAACATGTCAAGTTGCTATCTTATACACATAGAGCAACTAACAGAGGATTGTACGTCGACCAGTCGCAGGTGTGAGTGGCTTTGGACCTAATGGCCTACACCTGGCCTCCTCGAAATTCAGATCTGAACAGCAAACGACAGGGAGACCGGGACCCTCATGGCTTCTCTGATGGCTTTGGTGCAGGACTTAGAAGGCATGCAGATCCTGGCCCCTCGCGACCAAAGCTGGTTGGTGACACCAACGAGGACGCCCAGGGATACCTTTCCCTATAGGGATCCAGTCATACCTTCTCACAAGGTGATTGAAGACACTGTTATGTAGGTGCCAGGAGGGCCCAGTCGTACCTTCTGAGAAGGTCCTTGGATATCTAGGGTTTCAAAGGTGGGCAGTCAGTTAGCACACCATTTGGTCCACACCATTCGACACGGCTCATCGACTTGGAAAGGTTGATCTGAACCTGCAGCTCTTGAAGGTTGAAGAAGCTGCAGCCGGCCTCAGCTCACAGAGCTGGCCGAGAGCTGTTCTTTAAGTCAACGATCCAACAAAACTTTTCAGTGGTTTCAGACTAGATGGCGCAAACCCCAAGATATCCTTGAGTGGGGTTCCATATAAACCACCCAACTTGAGGATTGTGCCCTCTATATATACTCTGAAACCACTGTAATTCTTGAACCCGCTTTCTCAAGCACCGCTTCAGGGCAACATGTTGCAGAAAAGGGCGTGCATGCCTCGTGCACTTTCTTTGACCTGGCCACCCAATAATACACCTGCACTCCCTGAAAGAATCAATGGCCGGTTGGATAGCCATCTTCCTCTACAAACTGGCCGTCGTGGTGGAAACCACTTCCATGGTACGCCATGGCAGAGCAGTGTACGCCATGTTCCGTTCCAGAAAGCCTTGCGAAATGCCAGAAATGCCGCTCGCTAATCCAAGCAGGATTCCTGTGCCGATGTGTACGGGAATCCTGGTGGAGCAAGGCCAATGGCATTCTATACTCAGAAGACAAAAGACCCACCCAATGGCTGGAGCAACAAACACCAAAAACATGGGCACCAGGATATCCAAGGGAGGCTCACATCTTGTGCTATGACGGGAAGTGTGAGTCATGTTGCACCCGTCTTGGACGACTTTGCACCTGGATGTTCTGCATACTAGGAGCAAAGGGCATCGCTACGAATGGGGCTCCTGGCCGTACTACTAGGAGCAAGGTTCGCTAGTACAAGTAGCAAAGGGCATCGCTACTTACCCCAAAATGTAAGTACAGGCCAGGCTATGTTAAGAATATGTTCATAACGCATCATGCTGCATGCTCCAAGTTGGGGCATGTCTTAGTCATTTTTCATCCCAAAGTCCGAGTTCTGTTTGTTACGCGGTGCTGTACAGGACCTCAAACTTCAAGTGGCCAGCTTGCAATAGAGCTGGGCTGCAGCGGTGGCCGCAGGGCAGCTGCAAACCAAACACACCTCCAGGCGCGGCCGAGGAAACCAGCAGGGTCAAAGGGCTGAACCGCAGGAGAGAATGATAGGCCGAAGGCACCGCTGGAATGGAGGGTGCTGCTCATGATGTCTGAGGGAGGATGCAACGTGGTATATTATGTGACCAACTTGCGCATGCACATCTAGAAGATCAACATCTTGAAATCGATGTTTTACTGTAGGCGTTCTTGAATCGAACCATATTTCACTACTCCTACTACCACATAATATATAAGTACGCACATATATTGCATTCCTTTAATATTCAAACGCTTTGCCTCTACCACGAAACAATAGATCCTGAACCATATAGTCAAACCCCCATGCCCTGATTCTTCTTGACATGCGGAATCCTATTCTCACCACTTGTCTCACCCCGAAAAGGACTCGATTCGCACGCCTCCTCAGGTGCATTTTGACCCTCCAAACCTCACATCGGACATGGCTCCGAGCGGTGTCGCATTCGGTGCGGCATCTCATCGCCAGGCCCTCACCTCCTACGACCGGGTCAAACCCAGTCGCGGCAGGTGGCTTCAAAGCCAGGACACGTGTTGTCGAGCATGTAGGGCCTGCTGTAGGTTGCCTGAGGGAGCGACAGCGAGCGATGGTACGAGCGACGGTTTCAGCTTGTTTTAGCATCGTTGTAGCTGGGTCCTGGTCTTGTTATCACGGTGCCAGCAGAAACCGAGACTTGCACCACCAAACCCATGCGTTCCGGATCTTGCGCCGCACCATCCCTCCCCCGGGTCGTCCAATTGACGGGTCGGCCGGTGGGTCGCCCATTGTTGCCATGGTGCGATGCAATTGTTGAAAAGCCACCGTTTCAATGCCCATGGCGAAGCGCTGCCTCGTGCGTGCGGTGCCACTGCGCTCCGCAGCATAGGCCTCCACGAGCCTTGAACATGGGGTGAGTTCACTGTGCGCACTGAACCCACCATGGCGTGGAGGTTAGGAGCCTGTCCACGGGGCTGAACACTGCAGGGGCCGAAGATTCAATCCGGCTTCCGGAGGCGCAAGGAGGGGGTATATCAAACTGGGGCCTTCTTCCCACCTCCTTCAGTCCTCATTGTCCCTCAAATCCCACAACAGTTGATAGAGAATCCCTATTAGGCCCTATAATATCAACCTTGGGATTGGTTTGCTCTTGGAGTCTCAGCACACGGATGTTTTGGGATGCCCTTTGAGTGGCAATCCGCATGTCACCCAGTCTATACTTCCATGAGGCCGCGAGAATGGACCATCCCACATCAACAAATACCCCTGCCCAAAAGTTCAGATCTTGGCCAACCGTGGCCACCGGCGTGGCTGCGACATGATCCCTACAGGCCCTATTTACATAGGTAAACGACCTACAAGTACCAGCTAACCGCACCTGTTTTCCTTGAGCCAAATAGTAGCGAGTGAGACCATGTCTATAGTACACTAGCATGCAACAACAATAAGTTTGATCCACAACCATGTTGATTCAGCGATAGTTTAGGACTAGATTATCTGCGGCTTACCTTCTTGAACCACCTTCTTGTCTCCATCTTCAATGTTGACTTCCTAACCTCAGGTGAGCCGATGAAGTCGATGACACAAATATGCAGCACTTCTTGCGTGTCAGCGTCTGTCATTTCCAATGCATGGCTACCGATTCCATGCAATGTGGTTGACATGATTGGAATGAATGTTTGGCAACTGCACTTGCTGAATACTCTAGTTGCATCATCAAGCTGAAAGCCATGTTCAACGCATGTTCAAAAGATAAGCAAAAACAATGTAGTACTAGAAAGTTCTGACTGACACAACAGCGTTGTCACAAACACTTTGCAGCTTTGTATGCTTTTTTATCTCATGCGACTGTCTCACATGTGCAGATGCTGAATGAGCATCGCTCTGATCGTGAGATCGTCATAGATCAAAAAAGCGCCTCTGCACTGCATCGGGCGGTGCTCTGCATATTTGGCTCATCCTACTGCGACGCGTAACCACCGAAGTCAGCTGCCAACCAAGCTGTGCCGAAGCTCGCTCCAGCCGCAACGCTTCTCTTCACGATGTCCGGCTCCCACGTAGTGTGCTTCTGTGGCATTGTAATTGAGTTCCATACCCTTCTTGCAAAGGTGTGGCAGTTTCGGCTGATGAGGTTGTAATCCCCCATGTCCTTAAGAATGCTCTCCCTGATTCCTTTCAAGCCTTTCATGGTACAGTAGCCGTGTATAGGTCACCACCTTTTGCGCTATCAAAGATCCAGCCCTCTGCTGAAGAGTTCTCTTCAAAGCCACCTTTGCCTTTGCCGTAGTCACAAACCCACCATGACCCATCGTCGAACTTGATGCGTAGGAACGAGTGGGACGCGTTCCGGCGTTCCCCACAAGCCTTTTTGACGCCATTGAACCTCCACAATCCTGGCATCTCCGTCTGCATCATGCTTGCTAAATGTGCTCGACGAACCCATCCCTTGGAGGTCGAAGGGATGGGTAAAGGATGGTAAGATGGGTAAGGGAGCAAGCCGTAAACACGGTCAACTCTTGAGCCGTAAACTCCTCGGCACCCAAGGACTAGATCCAAATGCTCACAAACAGGCAGATTGCAATGCTTGCCAGGCCCTTCAAAAGACGTGGCCAGAGTTTTGAAACGTTTTGAAGGAACTCCAATCTTTATGCTTCTCTGTGCATCCAAGAAGAGTTCTGAAAAGACCGATGCCGATGCTGACCTAATGCCTAGAACAAGAGCCTGGGCCTAGATTCACGTCCAAGCAACCATCCAAGCTGCTGAGTCTCCCGACAAAAGAAGGAAGCGAAGGGATGAAGAGCACGTTGGGGAAGACCAAGCAGGGCCAAGGGCAAAATTGGAACGAGTCTGATATGCCTGAAGCATGATACCTTTGATAAAGAGACATGTAGAATAAAGGATGAACCAAGAGTAATGGCATGACAAGAAACACGAAACCCTGTGAACAAGGCAAACGTGGGAGTTTTGACATGATACAACCTAAACCCAATACGAAAAACGAGGAATAAAGGCTACCAGAGAAAAAAGTGTTCAAGATAAACACCGAAAGAAATACAAGGGATTACCCATGATGATGGTGATGGTGATGGTGATGGTGATGGTGACGGTGACGGTGACGATGACGATGACGATGACGATGACGATGACGATGATGATGATGATGATGATGATGATGATGATGATGATGATGATGATGATGATGGAATGATGGAATGATGGAATGATGGAATACTGTGAAATTGTGAAATTGTGCATATAAAGCTCATGAGGCAAGATGAATGGTGATGAAACACATGAAGAGTATGATGAAACTTTGGTAAATGATGTAATTAGTAAGTATCAATGAGGTGTTGATTATTATGAACTATTCTGAATAAACCCTTGCCCCCAGACCCTCTCGTTTTACCCGCGTTTTGTTTTTACATGGGATTGTCATGACCCATGTCTCATCCGAAAACTGGGGACTTTGAGCGGCAAACAATCGCCAACCGCTCATTGGATCTGGATCTGGTCGCTGGTCATGCAAAAACACTGAGGAAGAGGACCAAGTTTTTCTGTTTTTTTGACCCTACTGTGGGGTTATAAGAATATCTATTGTTATTTATTGCTATAGAAATAGTAATTATATTGATTGGAATGGATCCTCCTTCGACCCCTTCCACCAGCCCAACAGGCCCGTGCGGTCAGGCACTGTGCTAAAGCCACCGCAGCTGGAGCGCCAGGAGCAGCTTTCGCCTTGGCCGCGAGAGCTCCCAGGTCACACGCTTCCAGGCCAGAGGCGGCCTGTTTGAGGTTGGCCTCGCCTCGGCGCACCAGGGGGGGCACCATCAGACTCCAACAGGCGTGACATGCGTCTGTGCAGTGCTATTTCGTCGTGTGCTATGTGCTAGCCCAGGCCTCATGCGTCGCGTTGAGAGTTGGGACTGTCAATACACTGACCCTTCACATATGGGTCCTCGATAGGGCAACCCAAGTCAAAACCGTCGCGTCACTTCCATGTTCAACAAAAATCCGCAAGGTGCACTCCATGTGAGGAGGGTCAGCTTCGATCCGGCTGGTTTAATACGGGACAAAAAACATCCATGCTCCCCAGCTGAGGGAATTCAGCTGAATACAGCCTTAACCATCAACCATCAACCGAATTGATAAACAAAAGGTATTGGATTTCAGGAGGACCAACTAGATATGTACTTGGACCCTATAAAGCACCTTAGTAATAAAATTAAACAAAATTAAATAAAATCAGACATTACTCCTATAATCTCCTATAATAACAGGTGCTTGCACCCATTCCAATGTACTTGGAGACTCCAGGACTCCAGGTGCACAAAATAGTACAAAATAGTTCTTTCAAAAATGATGACCAAATATGACCAGCAAAGACCAGCAGTGCGCATAGGGGTGGCCAACGCTAAGATCCCCTCACTTAAGCTCAGTGACTACAACAAAACGACATGGAGCTCCTCATCTCTTCAATTTCTATCTGCACTCCCTGAAACAATCATGGAAGCGGAGTGGACATTCTTCCAAGTCACTGGCGCCCAATGGCCCTAAGGCTTTGATCTCCTTCAGCAGCTGATCCGGCTTCTCCAGCGCCTCCCGCGCGATCTCTGGACGCCAAGTCTCCTCACCTGCGATTCTCGGCCGTTGAATGGCTTTCGAACGCTGGTGGAAGGGCCTTCCAGCGGCTGAGAGGCGGAACGTCCGCCAGTTGGGGTGGTTAGAAGGAACATGAAGGAAAGCATATTGGTCACGGCGGGGGGTCTATAAAGGTCTCTCAAGCGACCCTTTGCGTGGTGCCACGCATGTCATGTTTCACTCAAAATCCCACCAGTTCCCAGCGCCCGCGCACAAATGTGCGAAGCGCACAGCGACCAGTTCCGCCGAAAAGCCCAGCTCGAGCCTAAAAGCAGCAACACTGCCTTCATCACCGTTAGCTGCGTTGAGCCCTCCTCTGCAGAAGCAAGGGCAGCCCAATCCTGGAACGTCTCCAAAGCGGAGACATAGGAAGGAAGGCATCTTCTTTTTCAAGGGTTCTCACAGGCACGTTTGGTCGTTTTCGCTGTTCGATGGCAGTTGAACTCCAAATGGATATGAGGATGTGACTTAAAGATACAATAATTCTGAGCATCTGATCAAATTGCGACCCCACACCACACACAGCTCAGGAACAAAACATGGCGAAGAAGCACCTCATCTTCAATGAAATTCAAATTGGTCTCTGCATCGAAGACCGACAGCTTCTCCTGCAATTCACAAGCTTCAGTGACAAAGTCACTTCAAGTCATCCAACCTCATCCATTTACTTTCAGTACAGTATCATATGACAAATAGCGGCCATTTTTGTCCACATGTCAGCCACTCACCCCAGCCACCTCTCAACACCTGGTTCGGAGGGAGATACTTAGAGCCAGGGCTCGCCGTGGCGCAGGATTCCTGAAGAGTGAACAATGAATCTCTTCCAAGAGCTGAAGGGTTTTGCTTTCCAACGGTGGCTCCAGATTCTTAGTTGAGTTTCTGGCTCCTTCAGTTTCCCTTGGAAAAGTCGGGAACCTTTTTCCACCTTTACACTTCTTTGTTTAGTGGTGAAATATCACTCACTCAAAAAGGATCCAAAAGGATTTGCAGGTGATCCACCTTTCCCGGGAAGGAACTTTTCCGCTTCACCTCCTTCACAACCCTTTCTCCAGCGGGGGCGCAGGAGGTGGCGAGGCCGCCACTTTGGCTGCCGCCTTGGCGCCTGCCTTCGCACCGGCCTTGGCCGCCTTAGCCTTGGCCGCCTTGGGCGCCATGGCGCCAGCACAGGGTTCCAGGCCGATCGGCGCACGGGGCGCTCCAAGTGGGGAAGTCAGTGGGGTTGCGGTGAGGTTTGTGGATGGGTAAAGGGTAGGGGCCCCGGTAGGGGCTTAGCGTTGGAAGGCTCCAATGGACATGGGGTGTATGGAATAGCTTCTCCTCGCTTGGGGGAAACACAAACAAAACCTGAACACATCAGCGGTACGTAAAACATCCAGTACAGTCTGGCTGTCTCAGTGTGGCATGGCCAAAAGGCTGGTGTCCTGTCTGACGCCTCGAAGATGCTATTGTTGGATACTAATACAAGGACGCTATTAGGTGGAGGCCATAGCTATTAGGTTGGAGGCCAATACTACTAGTAACAAGAAGCTACTAGTAAGTTCTTCCCCCAAAAGAAAACCTGCCGGAGTCGATGCTCATGTCTGTCCGAAGTTCCTGAAACCGGCGCGCACCACCGGGCACCGGGCACCGGTTTCAGGAAATTCCAGACTCGGATCACTTGGTCTTGGACTCCCAGGGTCCAAAATCGTCTTGGACCCCCCCTGGGTCTTTCAATTTCATGAAAAAAGGAGGACCTGACCGCAGTGGACTGGACTTGTCCCTAGTCTTAAAGGGTGGTCTTCATAGTCTTGGAGTCCCAGGAGTATGTTATTATTTAACAAACAATTAGACACATATGAGTGATTTTTCTTGAGGAATCCCTTAAAACCAAGCCTAGCCGATGAATTCACCCTTCGATGTCCTCAAGGACCACACACGATCCGGCGCTGAGCCGAGTCTCGATCCGGCGGTCTGTTGCGAGGGATGTGGCGAGGTCGAGGCGATTTTGGGAGGGGGCCGTTCGCCATGGAGGTGTCTAAGGGTGTCCTCATTCCAAGCTGTTGGCCCTATGGATCCACTCCCACCGAACCTGAGAAGTAGGTGAGGACGGAGACTATTGATGTATAGGCTCGGAGGGTCCAAGGACGCCTTCTGAGGTTCGGTATGTGGATCCACAGGGTGGGATGTTGGCGAATTGAAGATCATGGGGTCTCGGCCCGGAGGTCTCGTTTCGGTCTCTGGGACGAAGAAAACGAAGAGACTTGGTGGCTTGGTGGCTTCAACTCTCCAACGAAACATATGAGTCAAAGGGTTCGATCATCCCCTAGGATGATAATGGGGTGTTCCCCTTAGCTCTTCTGCTTGGGTCGCCATGCCACCAATGGGGGAACCGCCATGCAGCCATGTTTGGAGCTTGTATATTTTTTCCATATTTTTCCGGAGCAGCCAGCCAGGACAAATGTGACCGTCGCATGTGGAGTTCAGAATCAATCCACCTGAACTGCAATCCCACGACCAAAGCTTGGGGTGATGACACCTGTGGTTGGGCCATTTTCCCGGAACCCTTGACCACAAAAGCATGAACAGAATATAACAGAATAGACTACTAGGACATGGTCAACCTACCAGAGTTTAGGGCTCCGCGTTTGAATCCAACGCGGACTGCTCCCTACCACTCCAACTCCGGCCGTCGGCACGTCGGCACCACCAGCTGGGCCCTCAAGAATCTCCACGTCGTCCGGCTAGCAATACTCAATACTCTCTGAAGGCCCCTTTATAGTGACCAAACGGTTGGATATTGCGACACTTACACTTGCGTGATGATTCCAGGGAGTGTAAACCCCAAAGAGGAGCAAACTGGTGATCATCTGTTCCAATCGGCAGCTCGAAGGCAGCACTGCAGTATATTAGAGCTACAACACGGGAAGTTGTGGCCACGTGTTCCACCCCAACAAAGTGTTGATCCAAGAAGTCTTTGAGTCTTGTGTCACATACCCCACATGTCTCTTTTTTAGACCATTGAAAGCGGAGGAACATCTCGCTCACGTGCCTTTTGTTGAAGTTCGCCATCCAAAAAGCCTTTTCTAGTATCTTTTTAGACATGTTGAAAGCTTGGCCAAGGCGGCCAAAGAAGATCCGATGACTGTCATACAGTGTTGTGCCCGCCCTTCTACCTCCCTTCCCTCCCTTCCCAACAAGACCCACTGAGAGGGGCACCAGCTGCACAAAGACATCCTTCAGTTTTGAAGAAAAAGGGACCGGGTGAAGAAGGTGGAACGCACGTGCCAGGGGAAGGAGGACTAAAGTTGTAGCTTTGCTTCAGCTTCCAGGCCCAGAGTACTCAGTGGCAAAAATGGCGCGCTTCCATCCACTTGCCATCCATCCAGAGTACTCTGCCCTGAGCCCAGAGTCAAGTGACTCTTTAGCTGGTGACTCGAAGGCCTCGAAGGTTCATCTAATTCGATTGATCGTTACATATCCAGGCCTTAAGCAGAAGCACCAACCTGGACTGGAGTCTTCTGGATATCCAGGATGCTTTTTGGATCATAATGCAATCACCAAAGACTGGCAATTGCTTGCAGTTGAAGTTGCGATCCTTTCGCTATATACTGGCAAAAGGGAACTCCCTGCACCTGGACCCAACTTCAAGTACCTTGGCAAATGAGCCATAACCCCACTAAAAAATAAAACATCACTTATAAGCACCCATGATCTGAGGTACTTTCTTTGAGATCCCAGGTTGCTCCAACCCAGCGGTTCTTCTCACACATCCACAACGCAAAGCTGGCAACCCAAACAACCAACAAACAAATGGTTTTGCCAATATGCCAACGAGTGTTTGTTTGTAGAAACACCTGTTCCCAAACCCAAACCCTCCATGTATGCAATAGTTGCATGCATTTATCTACCCATGTTTACCCCGTCCATGGAGGTAAGCATTTGTATGTCCATGGAGGTATCTCAAAACCAAAACGATGGATGGGTCTGTCTTCACGTCTTTCGTGACCGGACCGCCAGGGGGGTTCCACCCTAAACCCTAAACCAGTTCACGCAACGGGTGAGTTCACGCGTCGTTCTCGGTGCCGACGAGGTGAAACGAGGTGAGCTCCGGGCCCACCGGTTCGGGGCCAGGGGTGGGTGCTGGTTGGGAATCTACCCGTTTGGGGCTCCTGGCCCTCCTGAGGTTCGGTGGTTGGGGTGGGTTTTGGGGGGGCTAACCACCTTCTGAGATGGGCCAGGAGCCCTAGGGATCAGTGGTCTGAAGAGATGGCACAATCCCCCTAACGAGGTTTAAATAGCACTTGAGAAGTAGGGTGCCCTATAAGTAGGGTAGGGTAGTCTATTGGACACCCAGTCAATGATCCTGGTAGGTGTTTATGATGAAATCAGGGAGGGAGACAATCCAAATCGCGGTGAGAAGATTCGCGCGCGTTCTCGCGCGCTCGCTGGGCCTGGTTGGGCTTTAAACTGTCGAAGATTCGCACCAAGCGTGCCTGCCGATTCGTCCAACGAAAACGGGTATTTCATTCGAGACCCTGTAAGCCGTAAGGAAGCTGCTGGTATATAGCCTTATAATATAACCAGCGAAATGAAGCTACATAATTATAAGCTTTTCAGGGTCATCCAGAAGAATGGGACTGAACAATTTGCCTACATTGAGGGTCGTTTTGGGCTTAATGTAGGTAAATATCAATTCATCCCTCCAAGTCAATGACCTCGTTAAACTTGTTCATATAGAATTGGAGACAATGACCACTATTTACTTTGTTAGAACCTAGTTTTACTTGGTCCCAATAAAGTTCCGTTAAAGCAAAAAATGGTGTTCATGATCTCTTCAGGTGGTTTGGAAGGGAATCAAAGGCGATTCTGAGTGATATTCCAGGTGTTCTTGGTGGCTTTGAGGCTAAGTATTCGACATTAAGAGCAAAGAGGTCTGAACTGTTGGCAACTATTTAGCGTAACAGGAGCGTAACAGTTCCGTAACAACCCCCTCCAGGAGACTTCTAAAACTGCAAATGATCTTCCAAAACCGTAACAGGAGCGTAACTGGAGCGTAACAGGTCCTTAGTCCCCTTAATGTTTGCAATATGTAAGCAAATCATAGAAAATTGTGACCAGGATGTATAAATGTTTGACGTTTTTGTCAGTTGTTTTATTTGCATGAATTAAAACATTGGGTGCATTTTTGCAGGTTCTATGTGCCGTTAGTGCGGTGATGTTGAATTCGCTTGGATAAAAAGGGCTTGGGTTCCGACAAACCAAAGGTACTCGTAAAACTTGTTCTTTTCGAAAAGTACTCGTTTAACTTGCACTTCGGACTTGCAGGGCATATTATACTTAAGACACATTGCATATCTGCATGCATTGAGTATACATATAGAAACACGCATAGGATAGACAGTCATATTGTAGTTCATACATGGAGCCTCTGGAATCGGAAGACTCTCCAAAAAACAATGCCAACAAAACACGTCCTCTGTAATGAAATTAGCATCAGCTCAACCTGAATTATATAGTTCAACATTTCCAGAATCCGCTCCATCAACCAAAGCCTCGTCGGTCAGATTTTCCTCTCCTTGCCTGTCCTTCTCTCAAGCTTGACCAAATTTGGTGGTCTGGTCTCAAAATCCCTTATGCAGCCTTATGCTGCTAGGTACTGGATTGACCGCCCGAATGTTGAAAATATATGCCGATCAATTGACCACCCAGACCAAACCAACCGATTTTGTGGCCCAATATGGCAGTCCCACACTCGTCTGGGCGGATCCCTCAAAACACCCCAGTCCGGATCGGCGAATCTGCCGAGTGTTCGAGTTTTTTTACTCATTCCGCATTTCCGCAGAACCTGAGAATTGACCGGTGGTTTCGACCATTGTCCTTCATACCAACAACCGTGGTTTGTTCACCTCGATCGGTCCGAAATCCTCGGTCGAGAGAAGTCTCCATCGCTCCGGTCGCTCCGGTCGCCCCGGTCGCTCCGTTCGCCACCTCCACGATTCGGATATCCAGCTGAGATGTGGCCATGGGAAGCTTCCGTGGCGCCGTAATGAACACGTGGTTTCCACGGACACAGCAGGTGGAAGCAGTTTGGAGGTCCGTGTTTGACGGAAGTCTGGCTTCAGAAATCTTGCAAGCTGGATATCTCCAAAACTGATGGAAGTTCTTGTGCTTTGGCCAAGTCCTAGCCGTAGGCCAGGCTTAAAGAAGCGATTTGGAGCTCATATGTGCATG